AGCGCCCCCGTCCCGGCGGGACCGCTCACCCCCCGCCGCGCCGGGAGCGGGACGGGGACCGGGAAGGCTGCCGAGCCCTGCTGCTGTCGTGTTCGTAACCTATACGTTCGAACTCGTGATACAAACCGAAACAAACTCATTCCGTAAGTAAATTAGACAAATCCCACCAAAAAGTGATTACCAGTAGCACGCTTAACGGTCTTCCCTGCATCGCTCTGGAAACTAAATAAGCGTCTTGAAAGTATAAAGAGATTAAAATGTAAACCCCGTGTAAAGACACTCTGCATTATAGGAATTTTCAGCGAGTCATTTGACGAGGTCACTTTTTACCGTCGCTGTTCGCAGCAGGTTGGAGAAGGAAAAACAAAGTCCTGTGCTGCTGAGCAGGGGCACCCTCCCCCTCCCGCCGCTCCTTTTCGGGGGCTGTTTGCTGCACCCACCCTCATACCTCTTCCGTGGGAATGAGAGATGCGTCTTCGTAGGATCCCGCGTGGCTTTTCCTCTACGGTCTCTTAACACGCAGTTAGTAAGCCGGGAGCCGGACCCAGACAACGTGGATGTCAAAAGCTCCTCTCGCTTCTTGGGTCGTTGGCCCCGTCGATGCAGGCGGCCGCGTCGGTGCTGTGCCGTGAGGGCCGCTACGGCCACAAAAATATTTCGGGCTTCTCCAGAGGAAGCCTGAAACTGTCCCACATCATGTCGTTCACGTCTGGCCTACTCAATCTCTCTTGGGTCCAGGGGGAAAGCACCTTTTCGGGAGAAGGGACGGTTTGCGGATGGAGAGGCGTCACCACCTCCCGTGCAGCCGGGCCCGCGCAGTCACACAGAGAGGGGCCAGCAGCCGGGGAGGTGACGCCGTCCCATGCTTTCAACTGAAAAACGTGTTGAAAAGCTGACAGCACGTGACGGTGCGGTATAATACGTTCCCTGTTCTTCACCGTGCTCTTCCATAAAGTTAAAAATAGCAAGTGGAAATAGTGTTTAAAAAAAAAAACAACCCAACTTTGAAGCAGCACGTGTGCCCCGAGTATACCTTCACCAAATTTGCTCGGTTTACAACCGCTCTATTTTTAACATGCATTTCTCTACTTTGTGAGAAAAAAAAAAAAACCAACCCAACCAAAAAACCAAACCAACAACTACACAGAGGTATCCTCCCAAGTTACTAAATGTAATCAGTTTCAGTTTTCTCTTGCAGTGTGTTGACAGACCAGAGCCAGCCTACAAACACTTACCCGCAAGTCTGTTTTTCTGCGTGTATCGTTTAACTGCGCCCCTAATCTGGCAGCCAAGCACCCTGGCGTAGCGTAAAGTCGCCTGGAACTCCCCTTGCTTTCAAAGATTGAAGTTCTCCAAGATTTAGGGGCAGGAGAAACTCATTCTGAGACCAACCGCCAGCAGCCTCACGGCTCCCCCTAGAAACTTGTTTCAGTTTCTTGTTGAGCAGAAATCAGATTGCAAAGCTTCCGAGCATGAAAAGTGTTTAAAGAATATCGTGGTGACAGCGTAAGGCAAAGAAAGAAATGCAGCATTTCTTTAAAAAAGAAGTATATCAGCATGGCAGCAGCAACAAGGCGGGGACACGTGTAGGTACTTAGTTAAATGTTTGTTCCAAGGCAAAAAAAAAGTCCCAGTCTCTGGTGCCTGCCGCTTGCTGAAGGCACAGAACCAGCTCCCCGGGTCCCATAAATCATCCCCAGGGACCTGTGGCCTATAAAATCAGCTGGCTAACTACTCGGGTAACGAAAACGTGAAGGGAGTCTCCCAGCGTTTTCCAGCATTAGAAGAAACAATGGGCAAACGGCACTTTCACGGAACGGGGGGAGTCACGGCCGCTCTCCAACTCCTCAGCAACGGTAGGAAACGGAGAGTGAGGAAAAGTGCTGCAGGGGTTTCACCACTCCAAGGTGGGACGCTGTCCCGGTGTGGCACGTGCTCGCACACGTGCATGCTCGACCGTAGTACCAGGCACGGATGAAATGCATCATTGCGTAGCTGCTACGGAGGAAGAAGTTTTGGAACCTTAAGTCATGCTTCAGCCAGTCCCCACAGAGAAAGTCGTAACTCCCCAAGTTATCGACGAGCACTTTGCAGCTCCGTAGGAGAGTGAGGAAACAGCAACGCGGCAGTCTCCATGATTAACCTTAGTGGTGACAGCTTACTAAAATATCCATGAGATGGCGGGGATGAAAATTCACTTGTAGCTACCCAACCCTTTGTGTGCTGCTGGGACAAAGTAATCCGCCTGATGCAGGCAGCCATTTGGCTCGCAGATTAGAAAGAATTTGCATTAATGGCCGAGAATTTCAACAGCAGTTGCAGAGCAAGGGTATGTGTACCAACAAAATCCCAATGAATTGCTACACTTTGCCTAGCTAGGTAAACTTTCAAGGTGGGGATGGTTTGTACAAAGCCAAGCAAGTCACTGTATGACAGGCATAATTACGCAGAGATAAGTTAATGTACTCCGTAAGAAGTACAGCACAGAGATTACCGAGCGGCATTTACATCTGTTTTAAAACATCAGTGTTGCAAAACGCAAATGGTTTAGTATCACATGAAAACACAAAGGAAGGTTATTTATTCAGTAGACTTTGAAGAGCCAGCAGCTGTTTTAAAAGGCAGGTATAACGAAATGTGATCGTAAGGTCTAGACGCTGCCGCTTCCGAAGGCGGCAGGTGACATCTCGCGATGCCGGTCCCCGCACAAGCCGCGCGCAGGCAGGCCTTCGGGCCGCGAGGCCCCGGCGGTCTGCGCCTCGTTTCTGACAAACCAGCCCAGGCATTTGGCCTGTTTGAGCGCTGCTGATGCTGGGGACCGCGCACAGTGAGCTCAGAGCAACCCACCCCGCTTGAGAAAAGCTCTGTTAAGTACACCCGCTTCCTCACCTGCGCCGCACTCCGATGGTCCGAGCCCTGCGCCAGCTCCAACGGGAAGTACCCGTGCTTGTGCCGCACCCTCCAGCGGGCTTCTTCCAAAAGGCTCTTTTTGCTCTGATGAAGGAAACTTGCAGCTCCCAGGGAAATTCTGTACAGATGTACCCAAACCTCAACAACTTCTCATCTCCCAGCCTTTCTTTTACTTCTGTTCCTGCAAGGAGGGACGCGAAACTGCACCAGGAGCCCAAGCCTGCGCTTGGAGTAGCTGCCCTTCAGGCACTTCAGGCTTGGTTTGGGATGCCAGTCCATGGCCTCAGACAAGCCAAGGCATCATGTTTTCTCCCATGATTGGTGGGAAGTGGCTCCGAAATCGCACGACCCCGACACACGCTCGCGTTTTATTCATCGCTGAACATTGTTTCAGCCAAATGAAGCAAAAAAGACAAATGGTTTCTTTTTCTTTCACAAGTGAAAGTTTTACTCAAAGTTTCTCAAAAATTAGGCAGCAATGGAAGCACACCAGACTGAGAGGGTGAAGTGGCCAGAAGGGCACAGACAGTAACGATGTGCCATATGCTAAAGGAAAACAATATTCCTTTCTTAGAAGAAATCGCTCACCAATGTACAGCACGCTGAAAGACTGAGAGCACGTGGATTTTGGTTAGTACCAGGAAGCAGCAGACTCGTATCAGAAAGAACAACCTTAACGATGTCAGCTGAAAAGCTAAAAGCATTAGAAATACAAGTGCTACAAGGAGCCACCCTGTGGCACCAGCAAGCTAAGGGAACAGAGGGCAAGCCAGGGTGTGCAGTTCTGTGGGTTGGTTTTTTGTTGGGTTGTTTGTTTTTTTTTTTTTGGAAACTCAAGCCAGCCAGAGTGACAAAATCTGGAACTGGCCCAAACAGCTACTTCTGTGGCCGGGAACTCCTTAACTGAGGAACTGAACCAGAAAAGCAGAGGGGCAGCAAGCTCCAGCAGCTCGTGTCCACATGCCACTCACCTGCCAGGCCTTATAGGGGCAAAGCTCTCTGAGGGACGTCAGCGTTCCCCGCTGCCTCACCCTCCGGCATCCAACAACAACAAGAATTACTGCTACTCCCAAAATCCATTCTTCTCTGTGGAAGTTTTCTGATACATAAATAGCTCTCAGAACGAGGATAACAACATATAGCTCTCCCACGGCTAACTCAGGGATGCAGCCAAAGACCTTAAGGGGGGAATAGGTGGAAATGCCACCTGAGACAGCACACCGTGACTCGTCACTGTGGGGTGCGTGGGTACACACACAGCTGCGGGCAGCTGCCCCGAGCCTGCCTGCACTCTCCCCCTCAAGCCTCTCCGAAACCCTGCCCGGGTACTGCCACTTACCCGTGATCTGGACAGCCGGAAGGCAGCACCCGCTGGAGTGCCAGCGGCACAGAGGTGATAAACAACTCGCTCTCCTTCCCAAGTAGACTCACCACTTAGTTTACGGAAGTAAGAGGCGGGATCGCTTAGCTTTCCATCTAAATTCTGATTTAACAGGCCAGTGCCCGACTGCTCACCTCAGCCCCCCAGTTCCCATTACTACTGGAGACCAGACACGTGGTTAGACAGGCCACCTCTTTAATCGGGAACAGTAGTGAGTTCTCATAAAAATGGAGCGACACCAAGGAACTGAGCTACTCCACGACATCCCTGCTCGTGAGGACGTTCGCTCTTGGACCATGACATGAACTGACAGTTTCACGGTCGGTTTTGTTTTCAGCACGCAGAAGCAGCATTAAGGACTCCCATTTCCATCTTTGACGGCTCAGTAGAACATGCCTCTTCTTATATGGAGAGACACAGCTATCACAGAGCGCTGACAATTTCTGACCTTTGTCCTTAATAAATGGAAGGCATCATATCTAAGAATGAAGTCACACACCCGACGAAACTATCAGCTGACATAAAAATACAGCAACTCATCTGCTTAGCAACACAAGCTGCCACCAACATCACTTCCTTCTTACATACAAAGTTCAGTTCACGGGCTCCACCCTGACTCAGAGCCGCCTGTAAAATTGGATCTGACTCGCTGAGAGGTCACGTCTCCTTGCCGTGAGCAGGACTTTCCACAGCAGCTATATTTCACTGGAACTTCCCAACGCGCAGCCCGGGGGAGGCAGGGAGGGAGGGAAACGCTGCTGTAGTCACAGAGTTCACCTGCCGAGGAAGCGAGGTGCTGACTTTCACGTTGCCATTCAGCTTTCCTTCAAGACACGTTTTTCAGAGCAGGTACTGAATAACTTGTTCCTTCTGTGGACTGGGGAGCAAGTGTGATCTGTCACGATTATTTCCTGGGTTTGCACATGCAGGGAGCACCCAGGTGCGACATTCTCGGGTACGGTCAGAAATACCTACACATGTAGTCGTTACTTGTTTTAAAATGGGAGGCAATTTGAAACCCACGGCCAAACACACATTTATAATATCCTTGGAAAATACTTATAAACTTGTTATTTTTTGCTACTCACGTTCATCGAGAAAAAGCATTTAAAATTGTTTCCTTAAACTGTTACACTACAAATGCAGTAAGAACACCTTAAATGTGTTAAGTTTTATGACTTTCTCATGTATTTTTTGGTAAATGCTTCACAAAATTGCAAGTCAATGACAATTAAAAAAACCCCCACATTTACTTACATAGTTAAGTTAGATGTGGTTTCTCTCTGATTCTTTTTCTATTCTGAAAGAGGATCAACTAATAGGATGATACCGTTTCCTCATTAAACTGAGGTCCACTCCCCTCCCTGCTTGGTAAACTTCTAGGAAGAGGACCGAGAGGGATCTGAAGAGACCATCTGTCCCCCCTGGCCGCACAAAGACAGGATAAAGTAGCCCCAGACAATCCCCAACAGATGTGTGTCTAACCTGTTCTTAGAAACCCTCCGTGAAGCTGATACCCGAACTTCCTAAGTGGCTTGTTCTGGTATTTCACTGTAACGATTTAAAAGTTGTTGTTGCATCTCCCCCCACTCTCTTAATATCCAATTTAAGTGATCCTCCCACCCTCCTAATACCCAGTCCGAGACATCTTCCCTCTGTACAGATCTGATTTATCTCATCTTTGCCCCAGCATTCAAAAACAGTTGATCAAATCTCTTCTAACCTTCTACACATTGGAAAATTTATCCAATTCCCTCTAAAAATTATTTTTCAGGCTCAACATCCTCCCTTCCTTCACCATTTCCTTTTATATTCTACATCTCTTACTGTTTCTTGCCCTGTCCTGTACTTTATTTTTCAGCACAGAACATGAAACCAAAGGCAATACTGCAGTTGAGGCCTTACCGGCGCTTAGTGGAGTCATCTTTACATCTTTCTCTGACCTACATATGCCACCTATTGATAAATCCTAAGAGAGCATTGCATTTTGCAAAAAGCATTGCGTTGTCCATTGCTATTTTGTTAGTGATTCTCTACAAACCCCCTATAACCATCTACCTTGATTTCTGCAAGAAATTGGTGATAGCTTTAATTGAATTTCACTTCTGCTTTTATCAAGTTCATTTTGATTTCTGAGCTAATCATCCATAGTGGTCACCATCCTCCCAGCTTGGTGTAATGGAGACATTTCATAAACATGCTCTGCATTACATCAATCCATATTATTCTCTGTGTTTTCTTACACCGCATTTACGATGGTAGTATCTTGGTGCCTTACAGCAGAGTAACTGGTGACATCTCTTCTGCCTCTCTCCCTCTCTATCTTGTCCTTCCTCCCTCCAGAAGGGCGAGCATGGAAAATTTAGCTCCAGAAGGATAGAGGGACATCCATAAACCCACTGTACCTGCATATAGAGGAGAAAAAGTAAAATAAATCATTCCTTTCGCTATTTCAGACCCACCCCTGAGAAAACGGTTTCATATATAGCTAAATTTAAAGCTTAACAGAGTTCTGCCGTGACAGAGCAGCAAAGTTGTCAGCTGTGGTCTTCATTTCATTGGCACAAAACACTTGAAGAGAAGGGCTAAAACTGAATATGAATCAATACTCTATGGAAACAGCATAATATGGAGGAAAAAGATAATGCACTGACACTGTAGGCTGCATTAATTATTGTGGGTACTGGGATGTTCAAAAAGTGCGAGATACATTCAGCAAACAAGTAAGGACTTCAACGTGCTTGTACGATCTTCACAGTTTCTCACAATCCAGCCAGACGCGTATCCCTTGCGCAGCACTTCACAGCCAGAAAAAAACCAACTACCTGGCTAAGCAGAGTTTGATCATCGAAGGATTTAAAACAACACACTGTTAATTGAACCTTACAAATATTAAATATAAACTGAATTTAACAAAATGTACTCTGGTAATACCGACGTACAGATAAACACCTCGCTTCATCCACACACTTCACAGGAGAAACGTTAGATCTGGTTCTACAAGATGCTGCGTACTTGTCACTCATGCTGACATGATTTGGAAGTAGAGGTGTTCAATACCGCTGAGTGCCAATCGTGAAGAAGTAAGTCTAGAGCCACAGGTCAGTGTTAAAGGCACCACCACCACCAGACGCCTCATCTCGTATCCCTCCGTTCTGCACCTTTTCTGGTTCTGTCTTGCGTAAATATCTAAAATTTGCCTTATCCCTAAAGAGGAACGCCTCAGCTCTGCAGCGCTGAGGGAACTCCCCTGGAAACCCGCCAGAAACTCACCTTTCCTATGCACAAGTTTGTTTATGCTTTGGGCATTGCAAGCCACTTACACAATCGTTTTATTTACTTGTACATTCTTGGCAGATGAACAGAATAGCCTATTTCAGTTAAGGCAGAAAGACCTCGTGCCTTCAGCCTGGGGTGGCAGAGGAGGGAGGGGATGTGCGCTGCATCTGTAACGCCACAGGTCGCACTTCACAGGCTGATGGCTGCACTGAATGGCACAACTTTTAAGCAATGGACCAATTGTTTTCTCTCGTAAAAAATGCAAGCCAGAACATGCTGGTTTTTTCACACCGAGAGCACAGATTGTATCACTGCTTCTAAAGTGGCAGGACTTTACTTGAAGCTCTTCTACAACTTAACAGAAAAGAAGTAGTAAAACAGTTGCTAGAAGATAAAGACAGCAGATACCATAGCACTAATGCTTATTGTTTAATCTTTGGTGTAGTAGGTTACCACCGTGACTTTTGGGTCAGAACACTGCACATGCCGTCAGCTTTTTGTATTTAATAAATGATCTACCGCACACCATTTCCACCTTGCATTCCCTTGTAG